TTAAATAGACGACGGTTTTTTCAGAAAAAGTGTCGTCTTTACATTTAAATAGACGACGGTTTTTTCAGAAAAAGTGTCGTCTTTACATTTAAATAGACGACGGTTTTTTCAGAAAAAGTGTCGTCTTTACATTTAAATAGACGACGGTTTTTTCAGAAAAAGTGTCGTCTTTACATTTAAATAGACGACGGTTTTTTCAGAAAAAGTGTCGTCTTTACATTTAAATAGACGACGGTTTTTTCAGAAAAAGTGTCGTCTTTACATTTAAATAGACGACGGTTTTTTCAGAAAAAGTGTCGTCTTTACATTTAAATAGACGACGGTTTTTTCAGAAAAAGTGTCGTCTTTACATTTAAATAGACGACGGTTTTTTCAGAAAAAGTGTCGTCTTTACATTTAAATAGACGACGGTTTTTTCAGAAAAAGTGTCGTCTTTACATTTAAATAGACGACGGTTTTTTCAGAAAAAGTGTCGTCTTTACATTTAAATAGACGACGGTTTTTTCAGAAAAAGTGTCGTCTTTACATTTAAATAGACGACGGTTTTTTCAGAAAAAGTGTCGTCTTTACATTTAAATAGACGACGGTTTTTTCAGAAAAAGTGTCGTCTTTACATTTAAATAGACGACGGTTTTTTCAGAAAAAGTGTCGTCTTTACATTTAAATAGACGACGGTTTTTTCAGAAAAAGTGTCGTCTTTACATTTAAATAGACGACGGTTTTTTCAGAAAAAGTGTCGTCTTTACATTTAAATAGACGACGGTTTTTTCAGAAAAAGTGTCGTCTTTACATGTAATAGACGACGGTTCTTTTAAAAACCGTCGTTTTTACATATAATAGACGACGGTGAATTACCGTCGTAGTTTGACTTTCAAAAAGACGACTGTCGATTTAACGACGGTTTGAAAAAGAAAAAGACGACGGCGTTTCCCCGTCGTCTATTTCAATTTTTGTAGTAGTGTAAGTTAGATTCATCGAACACCATATGTCGGGAGATATATATACATGGCCTGAACAAGGATCAAGACATCTGTAGCCTTTTTGGTTGATGCCATAACCAATAAATAAAATGCATAATTTCCTTCTAAACTCAACCTTTTTGGTGGTAATGGTAAATGATTGATGTCATGTAAGGAAGAGGAAGGTAAACGATTTATTAGATATAGACATGTTTGAGAAACTTCTATCCAATATTTGATAAGCATTGAAGATTACACAATGATGTGTGAGTATTTCGTTCAGATGTGCTATTTTGTTTATGTGTGATAGGGCATGTGAGCTATTATGTAATGTCATTTGTGGCTAGAAATTGGCGGAAGTAAGTATTGGCGTTATAGTCACGTTTTGCAGGCACCGTGTGCATCACGCATGCCAACGGTAAAAAAAATTCGAACTTGGCGTCAGCTCTGCTTTCCTCCAACGGATAGAATCCACATGGCGCTTCCTGGGGTGTTCGATCCATTCTTTCTGCTCCAATCCAACGGCTGTCAATATTTGTGTAAAAAAATTGAAAAAAAGTTGATTTTTTTTCCTATAAATACCTATAGATATTATTCCACACCAAATTTTCTATTACTAAGTTTCATTTATGTACAAATACAAATGGCCTCTTCCATCGAAGCCAGAGGGTCGTGTACAATCATAGAAGATATTTCGTTGCGTGAATGTTGGGTCCAAATTAGTCATTGCCCGATCACGGGCAATGAGATGAAGTTCTCTCAAATGTGGAGAAAAATTCCGAATTTGGTGAAAGATCGCATTCGGCTCGTATGAAAATGGCATTGGCTAGTAGGTGGAAAATTTTGAATAAAAAGTTAGGTAAATGGAGAGATGTGTTGGCAAAAGCAAAGGACAACATTCGAAGCGGCAAAAATCTTGGCAACGAGGTAAATTGCTTGTCTTTTATTGAATTAGTTGTATTACTTGTCTTTTATTGAAAGAAAGCATTCAATAATATAACTATTTATTTAAAATATTGCATACATAAAACAAATCATAATTCAATACATAGTACAAAGAAAGCATAATTCAAAACAAAACACAAACAAAGCATAATTCAAAATTAAGCATTAAACTTAACTTCATTGAGAGTGATTGTCTCTCGACGCCTATAAGTGCTCCATCAAGTCAACTTGACGTCTTTCGTGAACATAAGAAGATTGCATTTTCGTATAACGGTCAATCATATGGTTGTTATAATGACCGTCCCTTATCAATGGTTCGTGCTCTAGTGGTTGTCCATTTGCTCCCATGGGCCGTTCATAAATTATTGTCAATGTCGTGTTCATTGGATCGGGTTCGAACATCTCTAGTTCATCATAATCATACTCATCCTCCACAATCATGTTATAGAGGATGATGCATGTCATCATAATGCTTCGAAGCATCTTTTCATCAAACATATGAGCAGCGCCCCTAATGATTGCCCACCAAGCTTAGAGGATACAAAAACACCTTTCCACATCTTTCCTATAACTCTCGTGATAGGCAGCAAAGTATTTTTCCTTTTTCGATTGGGGATTAGGAATTTGTTATGATGAATGTCATCCAATTCAAGTAAATTCCGTCTGCTAGGTAGTACCCACCCAAGTAGATGGTATTGTTGATTTCATACGTGATATGAGGGGATTGACCTCTCAACACATTGTTGAACACCGGGGATTGACCGAGCACATTAAGGTCGTTTTGAGATCCCACAACTCCGAAAAAGGCATGTCAAACCCAGGTATTGAATGATGCAACGGCTTCCAGAATGATACTTTTTTTGCCTTTCCTATTCCCATTATCTCCTTGCTAGGAAGTTGGGCAATTTTTCCACTGCCAGTGCATGTAGTCGATACTTCCAATTATGCATGGGAAACTTCGAGCCTCAACTTTTTGTAAAAGCCTTTAGAGGTCCCTAAGCGTAGGTTTGCGGAGGTAATTTCTCGTGTAGATAGTTTCAATTGCATTATAGAATCTGACTAAGCTCTCTAGGATATTGGATTTCCCCATCCTAGCAATCTCATCCACCTGGTCTACAGATGCACTAAACGCTAGCATCCGTAAAGAATTTGTACGTTTTTGCTTCGGAAGAAGACCCAAAACCCCAGTAGCATTGTACTTCTAAACGAAGTATGCGTCGTAATTGCAAACATCATGCATGATTTTATTGAACAAATGGGGTGCTATATTGCCCTCGAAAATCAAAACTAGAGTACAACGAATTTGTGATAAAGTAATCTTCTAAGAGATTCGTACTCCAAGAGTGCCTATGTCTGTCCACGTTCGGGCCACGGCCGGGTTGTGAACCACACTGGTGTTGGCTTGATTGATCGAGCGTACCCACTGCCATGGCAACTTGATCATCATCTACTTCCCACTCCTTTTCTTCTTCAGCACGTTTGCACATTCTTTCTTTATTTTCTTGCTCAGCCTTCTCCAACAACCTCCTCGTGTAAGACATTGAAAATAGAATGTGTTTTGTAAAATCTAAGAGATGAAAGGATAGAGAGGATATGGATGATTGTGGTGAGTTGAGGATGTGGATTTATAGAGGGATTTAGAAGATAGAGATGATACATGACACAATTGTAGCAACTAAAAATCTTATCTGAAATTTGAGATGTGAATTTTATAATAAATATGGACACGTGGCAACTGAAAATCTTATCCGAAATATGAGATGTGAATTTTATAATAATTATTGACACGTGGCAACCAAAAATCTTATCCAAATTAATCGTTTAAATATAAAAAATAAAATTAATTTAAAGTGAATAGTAATTGCCCTTTGCCATGACAATGGATGAAAACCCAACTTGCCTTTTGCGAGGGTTGGCACTATTTACATGAATAGTAACAGTCATTGCCTCTCCTTGCCCTTTGCCATGGCAAATGGGTGAAAATGCTTTAACAGTTGAAATCTTGGAATTGGGTTTGGGCAATGAATGGTAAGACTTGGTAATATATAAATCTTGGAATTGGGTTTGGGCAATGAATGGTAAGACTTGGTAATATATAAAGTGCGTATAAAGTTGGGGTTGCTTTTAAAGTGCTTATGTCACTTATTGCTTGAATTATGGTAGCGCTCTTTGTAACTTTGGTGGCTTGTCCACCACCATTTTCTGTCTCGAGCATTGGTTACTGGTTCCTCTCCGGTGGGTGTGGGCTTGTGTTGATTATGCTGTTGTTTGGTTATGGGTGGTGTGGCATTTCCTTGTTCTGTATTCACTGCCTTTTGTGTGCACTTTGCTTTTCTGGCCTTTATGTCCTCTTCAAGTTTTATGATGTAGTAGGTTTTATGCCTTCTTGTGTTGCAGTTGGTTGAATTCCTTTGCGGAGCTCACTTTGTTGTAATCGGCTTTTGCCTTCTATCTAATAAAATTTGATTCCGACAAAAAAACAAAAATATAAAATATAAAATAATATTTCCACTAGTTTGGTTTTCTCAATTTTTCAAAGTCTAAAATTGGAACCAAACCGATCTGAATCGGTCTGATTTGGTTCTTGATTCTAGGTTGACTTTTTTTTGTTGTCAAAATGGTTTTTTTTTATTCAGTTTTCACCGGTGCAAATACCTATACCTAATTCTTACTTCATTGAAACATGTTTTAATAATATATTATTCAATTTTAATTAAAAATAATATTTTTAATTAATCTATTAATTATTAATGTGAGAAAATAATTAAAATTCTGAAAAGATAATATTAATCAAATAGTGTATTGTGTTTATGTTGGTTTTAAAAAATAAATTTTTTTAAACTAAAAATTTGTATATAAAATATTTTATTTAAAATAAGGGCATTTTAATAATTAAATGGGTTTCAATTTTGATTGAAGGAACAACTTATAAGAAACCATATCCTTCCCACCATTCCAAATAGTTTAGTAAATAATTTGACCAAAAACAAATTGCTATTATAAATATATAAAAAAGCCTGGTGTCCAAAAAAAATATTAACATTAATGCTTGTGCCACATCATGTTTTAGCTGACGTGGTTAAAAGTGTAATATTCAAGGATTTCTTCCTTTCTCATACCGCTAAGCCCTCCCTCCCTCCTTTCACTCCGCTCAGCCGCCGTCACTCACTCTGTTCTCTCTCTTTCGGGCTGTCTGTCTGTCTCTTCTCTCTCCCTCTCTATCTATCTCTTTGCGTGCGCACAGTTACACTTGCGAAGCAAAATGATAAAGCGGCGATTCTACAAGCTAGAACATGGCGACAGAGATGGTCCCTCGAATTCATCTTCATCCTCCTCGGATTCTGAAATAGAACCAGAAGCCGTAGAGGACTCAGATGATGATGATGTAGTTGAAGAACTCGAGGAGGATGCTCAGGCTTGCTCTACCTCCTCTGGTTTTTTCATCCTTTCCTGATGTTATAATTTGTTGAAATTTATATGATTTTATTTATTTGTTTATGTAATGTGGGTATTGGTTAATATTGCTGAATTGAGTTTTTCTGTTATTTTCTTGGCTTCCAGGATATCAAAGTGAGGGTAGCTCAGCAAATGAAGTTCCTGGTGACTCGTCAGGTAGGGATTGTTTGAAAGCAAATAACTCTTTGTAGATTGTATCAGTGAATTTTGAGTTGTTTGCATTGCTATACAGCCACCAATTTTCCTTTTTTATTGTGTTTCTGATCCTCTTATTTAAGTTAGAGACTATTGTATCTTTCCTAATTACCTCTACCCATGTTATTTATTTTTGGTCTTCCTCCTCCGGGGAAAATTAAAAAGAAAATAAAAAGAAAAGAAAAAGAAAACAATAGTTTAAAAAGGGGGAGAAAAGACAGGCCTTTATATACTCCTGCATTGATGTGTTGTTGAACATGAAAATTATGCGACCCGTGGTTAGGATCGGCATTAAGTTGATATGGAAGAATGGGTTCCAATCACATAACAGGCAGCTTGTTATGCCTTTTTGCGTTGCTTAAAAGATTGGTGGAGACAACATATGTCGGGCACTCTAGTACTTTCAAGAGCTTCTTCACAAGTTAGAGGGGGTGATTGCATAGAGCAGTCCACTCTCTTCTTTATTAGTTATCTTTGCTAATTTCTACAGAGGAATTTTTTTTTTCCCATAATTAGTTATCTTTTACCTCCTCATAATTTTATATAGTACTTTCACGGTTGTGATAATGGTCATGAGTGAGAGCTAGGATCCAAATGGAGATTTATCAGATGTGGCTCACCAAGTTTGATGTTCTGCTAGTCTTATCATTGTGATACTAAGCACACACATCATTTTCAGTTCTTGAAATCATGGAAGCTTTTCTGCTTTAGTTGATACAAGGTTATAGTTGGGCAATATAGTTATTTCTACCCTTCATAGCACAATGGTATATGATCACTCTCTGGAGGTTAAAAAGTGGAGGCCTTATTCGAAGTTGCTACATTTACCTCATGATCATTTGTGGAATTATGGAATCATGCAAGATACTGTTATCCTTGCAAATTAAACAAGGAAATTTTCGTTCATAAAATAATTATATTCACCTTGATTTTATTGTTGAGTGCATTTTATATCTTAATGTTTGAAAAAATGCATACTCCTATGCTTCTGGAGGACTGCATTTCCTGGATATATGACATCATTTTTCATATCAGATCTGCCAATCAATGAAGATGATGCTACAACCGGAAATGAAAGACAAGTTCCTTTGGCCGATCAGTTGTTTGGTAAAAGTGGTTCAGAAATACTAGAGGAACAATCTAACATCGTGGCCAACGAGGAATCTTTACCTGTTGATTTCCCAGACTGCGTTGTCAAATGCAAATCAGCTTTTAAATGCAGAATATGCCCTAGAGTTGTCTGTTTGAATGAGGAGACTTTAAGGGCTCATTTGAAATCCAAGGTAAGATGCGTGGCGTAATTATCTTTCTCTAGGAATCAAATATCATCTGCTGTTTGTAACTTCAATTGTTTGTCATCAAGATACGACTCCTTGCCACTTTAAAAAAGAAAACGAAAGAAAATAAAATACTTGGATTGGATTGGATTGGATTGAATTGTTTATTTTCTTGTTTTATAGTTATGAAAATATGATGATACTGTCAGCCAAAAAAAAAGGTTTATAATACTCCTTTTTCTTCCTTTCAACTGTTTTGAATTTGATTATTTCTGATACTTAAACTGGTAATGCAAAATGACAAGGAAATTCATGTGATGCGACAAGTAGACTTGGAATAGGATAGAGGAAGTGGAGACCAACTACTGGTTTATTATGTACTAAAGAATATTAAAATATTGAAAGTGAAGTTCTACAAAACTATTAACAGGTCATCTACTCTTTATGGCAAAGAATGTTGGGCATTAAAGTAAAAGCAAGAGCAACACATCCATTTAGTGGGAAGGGAAAGTGAAAATGGATGATAGGAGTGAGTAGAAAGGTACAGTTAAAATAACTCTATGGGAAAAGCATTGAGATTTCACTCTATGATGGACCCCAATTTGGAATTTTTAAGTGCAGACTTTGTTTTTGTCCTGCATGTAATGGGGGCTCATCTCCAAATCTTAGGGAATATGTGCAGAAGTATAGAATCTGTAAGTATGCTCAGCAATTTTTGATATCTCATACAAAGTGATATGCAATCAATCCCACAAGATGTGGAGGTTCTCGAAGGGTTCTGAACTATCAGGGGTTTATGTAAGCAACAGATTAATAAAGCTTTATTATTGTGTGCTAGCTGCCATTTAATTGAGGAAGTGCCAGTAATTTGATGTGGTCTTATCAAGACCATTTACTATTATTAATGACTAATGATATTGTTGGCATTATTGTAGAGACATGCTCGGTCTGAGAAATTATTGGACGAAGGTAGGTTGAAGACCATGCTGAACACTGATGGGAAAATTGAAGAAGAGGAGACCCCTGCTTTATATGCTAGAATTTTAGCTAATTCGCAGGTTGGTCTTTCTTATATTGCTAAAATAAACCAGCAGATTGATTATCACTTGTGCGTGCAAGAAACTAACCCATCTCTGCTACTTTATTCCAGGGTATGCCGAGAAAGAAAAGTAAAAGAGAAGAGAAGAAGGTGTCAAGAAAGAAGGTAAAAAACACCATGCCACAATGCTTGAATGAATTCAGGCTCTAAATGTATAAAAAGTCTGTTAACACACATCTTCCATTGTGCAGAGAATGAGATATGGTGCTAAGAAATCCAAAGAGAACCCAGCCAAGAGAAGTCGTAAATGAAGTACTGAGAACGTTACATTTGTTTGCTGTCCTGCGAGAGAAGACAACTGCGAGAAAGCAAATTCGGATTTTGCTGGTTTGTACCGAAATACTGCAGCCCCTTCGAAGATTTTCATCACTTTTGAGTGATGTAGCTAAACAATCATTTCATAATTAATTACTTTACTCTGTTGTTTTGTTGTTGCGAAATTTTGGGTTTAGTATGAAATCTTTTCCTTGCGAAGTTTTGGTATCCAGTTCCAGAGGTTTTAGTTATCAGGAGAAGGAAGACAATCAGGTTTTGCATTCCTGAAAGTTGTTTATTTAGGCTACGCAGAATTTATAATAGAATGCGTTTGGATGCTACAAGTTATGATAGTCAGTCTTCCATATCGCACATGAGCGGTTTCTATCCGTTATCTCTGAGACCCACTATTGACCAATAGTGAGATATTAGCCATGCGGGCGTATGACATTGGCATAGCAAATTCCGGATAATATATGGCATTGTCGTTGTGTGGATCAGTCAACTTTTGTTACATGCGTGTTTGTTTTGGTGAATAGATGTGCAGTAAGTGTACCAAGTACGAAAAAGTAACCAAATTCGACCCATCCCACCGGCCATTCCCTGAAAATCACAAGATTTAGATTAACTTTAACAATAGTCACAACTAAAATCATGCACAACTTGTTGAGAGACATTTTCTTGAATCAGTGAATCCACAAGCTAAAATTTAGGCTTGGTTCTTCAGTTACATCCTTAACCGGTTTTGGGGTTGTTTAAATCTAACATTATTTATGTTAATCTGCCTAGAAGTTGCAGAGGTAAATCTTGCGATTTTACTCTACCCTAGCATTCTGTTGCCGATGCCATAACTCAAACATTACACGCTAAATCTTAATATCTTAATAGAGCTGAGTTCAGACGACAAAGAAAAGAAAACAAAGAGGCAGAAATGATCCAAACCATTGCATTTTAGTAACCTAGTTTTTCTTTTCCAGGTCAGCACCATAAGCTTCAGCTTACTTGATTAAGCAAACATAAACTAAAGAAAAAACTGAAAAAGTGAATAAGTCCAAAAAGTTACGATCATTCACATGATGTCAAGCTAATAAAGTGAAAATCTGTCCTATTACTACAAATTTGAGAATTCCAGTCAGAGCACAGAACGTATAAAAGTAGAAACGAAACAGATTTCCAACCACCAAAAGTCAGAATGGCTTCCTGAACCAATATTTGCCACAGCTCCAGGGCAGAAGTTGCAAACTTCAAACCCCTTCCTTGGTAGGGTCAAGCCTTGGTATCATTCTCTTAATTTTTCGGCAAAGACAGTGAAATAGTATGCATAATGTATCCCTTGAAAGAGAATACTGGAAGTCCAAAAGGAATAAGAAGCCTGTGAGTTCAATACTTAAGGTCATTGCTCCTCTGAAGGGTTTACAGGCGCAACAAGCAAGTCTCCGCTTCCATCTGCCTCGCTAGGCTGATCAGGTGGCGGTTGTTCTCCATTCTCAGTATTTTCTGGGTGGAAATTGATGGGGAACTTTGTGACCCTGGGTTTATCAGACAAAATGTTTCTTTGAACCCTATCAATTAAGACCTTTGGAGGAGGTTCTTCTCGCAGCTGTTCATCATCATAATCATTGTTAACATAGTAGCCCACTCGGATAAATTCCTGACCAAGATAAGAGCAGGTCAACAAAAGCACTGTCACACCAATAATGTCTTCATCACGAATCTTGGATGGGTCAGGAGGATCTGCCTGCAAAATGTTCAAAAAAACTTAGAGTTGATTCATATTCAAATGCACCAAGTGGATCAGGTATAAAGAAACAGTACAAGGATTCAGTGGAAGCTTGCCTGTAGTACAAAACGATAGTTTCCAACATTGACAGGCCCAACAAGTACACTCTCCAATAGTTGGTCATAAGTCTCATCCTCAGCAGATCCCACATAGATGAGCTTCCATTCCAAATCTGTATTGGGATGAGAAACTGATTACTTACTTCTAACAATTAACGTTAGTCCCACACAGAACTAGCAAAAGTATTTGAAACTTGGTTCCACTTGTGCAATCTCACTTAAGAGAAATTCAGCTCCCAATTCTATTCAGATATCATACAAACAATCATCACCACCCGTGTGGGGATGACTCAACAACCTGGAATCCAAATTACCCTAAAAGTCCTCACATTTAATTTAGACTCTTTAAATGGTTTAATTAAGTAGGATATTACTAGTATGATTTCCAAAACATTTAAAGGAATGGTAAGAATATCTCCATGATTATTTACTTGTCTGTTTTCCTCAAAATGAGTCAATGTCCTCGCCAGAAATGAGTCCATGTTTTTCAAGTTGGTGCTACTTATGGGTTAAAACAAAATCTGCCAATCAAACTTTCAAATTAGGAAGTTCTAAATCTTCTCTTTCTTTTTTAAAACCGCATAGTGCTACATTTTCACTCTTTGACAGAGCCTTTTTTGTTTTCTCTTAAGGGTGCTATATAGACCTCAGCATTACTAAGGCCAATGGTCACTCACTAACTGGAGCACCTCATCCAGGTGCCATAATTACAGCTCGTGGATGTAAAATGTCAGGTTACATTCCATCACCAGCTGAAGTACCTCAGTTTAACATCCAATGAAGCCACTTTATCTCATGCAGCAGAGGCAACTATATATATATACATCTATTATTTTTAATTAAATTTATTTCTGTTCCAAAATCCATTATATACATCACATTCTTGAAATGCAGACACATTACATTTTATTAGCTAAGCTGATAAATCAAACAAAGACAATGATAGAAAAGATGTCATCAATCTTTTTTCTTTTTCTTTTAGATAAGTCAGAAAAAGAACTACCTAATTACAAATGCAGAAACATTACAAAACACAGTTGATTTCCTTCAGCATCACAGCATCTCCACAACATTCTCTAATTTCAATTTTTTCTTATTTATATCAAGAATCCAACGGGCAACACCTTCAAACACACCCCCAAATGTCCCTTTTTGCAAGTTCCAACTACATTCTGAAAAAATAAAGGTGACACTCAACAATCATCCATGGGTTTCCATTCAGAAACCCCAACAACAAACACAATCAACTAGTGCATGTTCTCAGTGTCTTCCATCAACAAAACAGAATATCCTGAGCTATCGTATATGAGCTCTTGGACACCATTTCCTTGCAAGGCAAGGAAACCGGGTTTTGGAAGGACAAGCTATACCCATAGGCCATTACATCAAACACTTGCATTTCCCTATCTTATAATATATTCTCGTGAATCAAACAGAGAAAACCCTAATTGAAATTCAAACAGTCCCAAAACAAAAACAAGAACAAGAGAAAGACTGAAAATGAAAAAAAGCAGAAGAGTGAATTGGTACCGTCTTTGAGAGGGGTCAAGCACTCGTAAGAAATCTCGAACTGGAAAGGTGCGAGAAACAAAGCCGGATTGTCAAGCACAGTGACGTTGGTGATGTTCACCGCGCTCATTGTAACGAAGTCCCGGAGAGGAAAAACACAGTGAGTTTGTTCGCATAGGAGGATTTCGTGAACGGACCGGTTGAAACCCTAGGTTCCAGCACCTTCATCGAAATGAAGCAAACCCCAAGAATCACAAATTGTTTTTTCTTTCTCTTTCTTTATCTGATTTTAGGGCTTTTGCGAGATTTTGATTGTTGGGTTTGGGGAAATTGATTTGTTTTCCTTTTAAAGAGCAAAAGAAAAATCAAAACAAAATAGTTACCGGACGGGTACGGGCGATAGCCGGTTTCGATTTGGCGGGAGTTTTTTGGGTGATTGGGTAAGAAACTGTCATTTACCGGTGGGGGTAACTTGGGGCGGGAAGAGGCATTTTTTAGAGCCAAAAGAAGAAGAAAATGGATGCAATGCAATGGCAACACGTGCAATCCACGTGTCCTCAGGTGCCAAGGACTTCGATAATTCTGATGTCTTTTTATTTAATAGGCAACAAAGTAGAGAGAGTGGTATTCCATCAAGAATAGAAAGAAAAAAAAAGGTAGAGAGAGTGGTATTCCATCAACAATAGTTAACTTTTATTTGCTTGTTCATTTTTTAAAAGTATAAATGATAATCTAAACTACATGAAAAGGGAGTTTTTCACACCCACTATCACGGTGTTATAGGGGTTCAAACCTATGACCATGAGTTCTCAAGTCAATGCCGTTTTTATTTGCTTGTTTTACAAACAAATTTTGATGCTTCAAATGTTTATAATTTTCTTGAATGAATTTGTTTTTATTTTCTTTATATAATTATGTCAATTAGGGCCACACATTCAAATATGGTTTTAACTTTATCATTGATATTGTTGCCTAAGCTGAAATGAAGATCCTCTCTTTACAAGAGCACAAAGATAAGAAGCAAAGGGATGATTGTTGTTGTAGTCTAGAACCGCTAACTTTTAAGCTATACGTTCAAAACATTTTTCACACTAAACTATATGTACACTACAAAACTTTGGACAGTGAAAGCAGTTTATGCACAAAACAGGAGAAAATTTTCAATCTTCAGCAACGTCCATCTTCCTTGTCTGGGAACAAAACATCGCAGCTATATCTTCAGATGTGCTACATTCATCTGGTTTTCTATCAGCCACAGTGCGAACGTATCTTGGGAATCTGATTGAAATTCCACGTGATGGATGAACTAAACCTACAGCAGCCTGGTGAACAGGAGACACAGTAAAGTCTGCACCTCTAATTTCCCATACAAGTTCTGGAGGAAACCACATATCAGGCGCCTCAGCGGTTTTATAATAAGGTGGTTTTCTGGACAAGATCTTGTCTCCAGAAAAGAAACTTTTCATCTGCAGTTAAAAACAGAAGCGAAACCTCTTACCATGATGAGCTCGAAGGATGCACTGACTTTCAACAAGGAAAACAACTCGCACAATTACAGCACTAATGTAAAATTCAAAGATCAGTAGCATATCCTGTGGTACGGTGACATTTCTTTAATAAGAATTCACTGGTTCTAGGTATGAGATGCCAAAGTGGCTTAGGACAAGAGTGCTGAAGTGCAACACCGTCAAGCAACATGTAATATTACAAAATTGTAACACTAGTCTTTATTGCCAATGAGAAGCCAATGCCAGTATAATTTTCAGAAGGTAGACATGGAGAAATGGAAAACGCACAAACAACTTTTATCCCATAAGAAAGGGGTTTTCAAATAACTCAAGGATTCTGAACATGAATCCGTTTTCTGCCACTGAGCCCTAAACTAAGCCTTATTCTTCAGTACAAAGTGGAAATTGCTTTCCGTAACATATCAAATAGCATTACAACCAAAGGAATAGGCACGTTAACTTTTGACAGGACATGTCTGAGCCAGTGCAAATTAAAATCCTAGATCTTATTTTATTAAGACAATCGTAGATCGTTTTTACTTGACCAAAAAACCTAAACCCCAATATCTGCATCAGTGTGCATTTCACATTGTGAGTACTGCAAAGAAATGAACCTCGGAAGTACTCTGCAACTGGCAATTGATTTCAAATGGAAGTTAAAAATTTCATGTGAGCAACCAAATAACTTTAATCAACATCTGGACAAAATTTTATAATATTGGAGACCACTTAGCTTCATACAGCCACAGTTCATCTTCAATTAGTCACAATATGCTAGTAATGTTCCCAAAATCACCTCAGTGTAAAATTTTATAATATTGGAGACTACATCACTTACCTCAGTGTAAAATGAATCTGAGAACCCAGACATGACACGGCAGACGCTTTGGAAATCCTCAGTATCAGGGTTATAACATGCCATAAGAAATGGACTGTACCTGCAACATAAATTGCATGCCGTAGAAATGGACTTTACTTGCACCATCTATGCATATTTCATATACCAAATAGAAGGAAAATACATCAGCTATAAATAAAGACTCAAATTTTTTTTTCTCTTAAACAGGATTTGTGACCCCAATGACTTCGAACATATAAAAGTACTTTCTGATTTTGTGCATCTGTGATATAGATACTAGGTAATCACACACAAAGGAAAAGGTAAGCGTCAATGAAAATGAAGTAATTACCAGCCTGCCTTTCTCCCGTTTCCATGCCAAGCTCCAATTGGGACTAAATCAAGAGAGTCATTTGATCCTTCAATGTAGTCTCGCTTGACCTAACAAAGGAACAAAAAGGTTTATACCACAGGTCAACGTTTCTCCTATGGTTTACTATATCAGGGTGTCTAATATAATAAGCTTGAAGGGCATTAAACCTTTAACCATGTATCTGTACGCTTTGATGGAGAATATCCAGCATCAACATCTAAAGATTTAACCATAATCCCTTCACATGAGGAGAGGAATGCATTTTCGAGAAAACAGTTGATCTTCGTTAACGTGGCTTCACTGGTTAAACAAGCATCATCTGCTTCGACCTACAAGCAGACAGATCATACAAATCAGAAATTCAAGAAAGATCCTTCATGTGAAAAGCTAAAGTTAAAGCACTAATTACATAGATAAGTAAACCAGAAGCACTTACTGTCATTTCCTTGGCATACTCAAAATAACCCAACTTCTCATCATAAAACAGATCTTTCAAATCTGCAGGTTTTTGAGCACCATAGTTTTACAATATAATTCCAGGAGAAAAGAGGTGCTCTATCAAAAAAGACAGAGAGACTGCAAAATAGGGTGTGGAGATGGATACATTTTCGTCTTTTCCGCAGAGGAAAGCCCAACAACCTGTGATAAAGTTTGATTAGATCCCCACATCCCTCTTAAGATAAGCAACCAGTTACAATAAATAAAAACAAAGATGGATATTATATCTTACAACTCTAGTGTGTCAACCCTGGGATATCACAAAAACTATATGAAGATTTTTAAAATGCTTGAAGGTCTTTAACACTTTTGATTTTATACCTATAATGTTCGAAAGATAGATTGTAGATTAGCAGAAGTTAACCAAATGCAGAAACCATAAAAATGTTCTAGATAAAGATCAACTGTAAAAGTTGCAAGTACATATGCTTTACAGTGCACAAAAATAATGTACACGAGGTTCAGGATAATTTACAATAGACAAAAGGACAAGTGCATTTAGCAGTTGGCATTTCCAACATTGCCCTTTTTCTTGGTGCAGGGAGGGGGCACTCAAGGCCCTCCAAACCCGACTTATAAAGATGAATCAGTGTCAACATATGTAACAATATCTTTTCATGAAGTTGACTGCACAAGGACGTTGATATGGGGGTAAGGTGTTCCCAGGACCCTTCCACCATGAAGGTTATTTGACGCCCTTTATGTAGAGCCTCAGCTGAAGAGAGAACTTTTTGTACTCTTTCTGTGATTTCTTGCTACATGGATATTAGAAGGAGAGAAGCAAGGAACCTTTTCAGAATGCACTGCAGATTAAAAAAGCAAAAGCAAATGCAAAAACAATACAATCCCAGCACACAAGAATTGTATAATTTCTGGAGTCATAGGTGCATGAAATACTTGTTCGGTTATTCAAGTTTACATACGTACAACAATCAAGTCCAACCAACATCTTTACATCTGCACAGCACTAGCATTACAGGAAGATGTCTAAAATCAGCATGACGCTATAAATGCAAAAATGCACAAAAGCATATTCAATTACCATTGTAAAAAATATGCCTTCATATACACTACCATGTATCCAAGATCCCAAACAGATTAATTGACACTAATTTCGCTTGTTGACAACAATATTGGAGGAAATTAGGAACATAATCTGCTGAAATACTAGTAATGTTGTCCTTGACTTGGTGAACATTAAATTTCTACACGTTATGTGGATCAATTCATTAGAACAGTGTAGATCAGGGTTCTTATCCTATTTTCGCTGTACAAAAATCTACTAAATTAATAATAAATTGATCTGAAAGCATCTCTACACAGAAGATAAAAGCATATCGAGAAGATTGAGAAAAACTACTTAAGGAGCTATAGATACTTACTGCTGTCCATTGGCGAACATGATATCAAAGACAAATACACAAATGTCGACCTGCACATAAAGAAAATATTTGAAAACAAATTCAACATTTCAGCAAAACAGTAGAAGCCAATAGATATCTGCTTAAAATACTTCTACCCAGACAAATTTACACGGTTTTTTATGTGAAGTTTTCTTTATCCAGTACGTATACCTACACAGATAATGTATCAACATTTTTATTAGATCTGCTCTTTCAATAAATTGCACCTTTATATCAAACATAATATGTCAGAAAGACTTTAGCATGAACATCTTATATTTCCCATACAGAAATTCATCGCTAAGCATCACAATAACTCATAAAACCTTTATGCTATCCAATGTAATTGATGTATCTCTGCTCCCTCTCCCACGTGAAGACAACTCTTGGAAAGACATTAGCTTCAGACCATTCTTCCTATCAATTGCAACCACCTGAAACCAGAAAAGAAACAGAGCAAAGACTCGGTGAACTATATTTGTTCCCCTACCAAAAGAAGATAATATAAATCAACTTCAGAACCTGTGTGTGTTGTGTGGGTACGACGGTGAGGAGTTTTTACCTCCGCATCTAGTATGAAAGTGACTGCATCAGGCTTACAAGATTCATTAATTATCTTGATCAGATCTGGAAATCTTGACGTTGATTCGTCCCCATTTCGTGAAAAAACACGCACAGACCCATCAACTAATTTGTGAATTTGGGCACGCT